TATTTGTGCAGGTGTTTTTTTTTTTTTTTTTGATGTTTTTCTTTGGTTTTTCACTTAACATTGGATTACCAGCTGGATTTGAACTTGCAGCTCCCATATGAGCACCGCGGCTGGTGCATGTGCACAGACTGCTAGGCTGTGACTCCAACAGTGTTATATTTACGTTCTTGCACTATTTTCCACTCTCTGATGGTTAAGAGATTGCTGCATGATCTACTGTCCAAAAAAACCCAAAGCATGCAGCACTTCTTCACTAAGTGCCACTATCACCATCTGCTGCTGAAGAGACTTTCATCTCTGCAGTATGTTGTGAACAGCATCTCACACCATAAAGACGTTGACTCGCTCGTCTGTGGTTTGCTGGGTGAAGCTTATGGACCAGTGGGCCGCGTTACAGCACATTTCAGTGATTGAATCTGAGTTCATGTCTGTCATGAGATCAGGTTCAGACTGAATCAGGGCTGAAATGCGCAGATTTTCTCTCTGTGTGGGTTTTTAGGTCTGTGTGTGAGGTGTTGGAGATGGAATTGGATTAGGAAGAGATCACAGTTTGAGAACGACACTGTCAGGCTCAATGTGCACACACGTGGATTGGAGATTGTGCTCAACGCTGTTAGATCAGGACACAAACGTGCTTAATAGTGACCGACTAAATGTTTGATATTTAACTTGCAGATTTATAATTGTAACAGTGATTATTGATGATTGTATATAAGAGTGAATGTTACCTGTAAGGAACTTGTCCAGGTGATCCAAATCCATCCCACAAATAAAAATAAATAAATAAATAAATGTGAATAATAAAATTAAATAAGTATGGTAGTAATATAATAATAATATATATATATATATATATATATATATACAGTGCTGTGAAACAGTTTTTTTATTTTTTGCGTATTTGTCACACTTAAAAGATTCAGATCATCAAACTAATTTTAATATTACACAAAGATAATGCAAGTAAATACAAAATGCTGTTTTTAAATGATGATTTCATTTATTAAGGGAAAAAAGCTGTCCTGATCTGAATCATTCAAGTGTGACAAATATGCAAAAAAATAAAAATAACAGGAAGGGGGCAAAATCTTTTTCACAGCACTGTATATTTACACAAACACACACACACACACACACACACACAAATCCTTCCAAAAAATTTATAATACAGTTCAATATTTAAATGATAATAATAATAATAACAATAATGATAATATAAGTAAATACAAATATTACCTAAATAGAAATCTAGGCAATTTTATATATGTGTGTCTGTGTGTGTGTGTGTGTGTGTGTGTCTTGCTTTTTATATTTAAATAAAATGTTGCAATAGTGAGAATTGTTAAGAACACTGTGTTTTACAAAGGCAATAAAATATGTTTCCACACAATATTTTAATATTTAAAGATTGAATTGTTCTTGAAACTAGATCTGGACATGTTTTCATGAGTTTCATCCAGGATAAAATGACAGTCTTGCCTGGACATGAATATGTATGATATGCCAGCATCTCTCTCTGATGTACATCATGTTTTTCTCCTCAACAGAGTGCAGTTTAAAGGAAAACACTCTGAAGTATATTGAGCTTCTGGAGGACAGACTTCACAGGTAATGGATATTTCTCATCTCTCTTTCACACAAACAGCCCCTCGTCTCGTCCCTTGGGTTATTTTTCCTTATTTAAGCAGTTCACACTGTCTGGCCTTGTTTCGGTTCTGTCTCTCTGGATGTTTCAGCGTATTAAATCATTCAGGTCTGGTCAGACTGCATCAGTCTCTTTCTGATGAGCTCGTCTTCATCTGTCCAAACTGACATCTCAAAATGAACCAAATGAGATGTGGACTGCCACTTTAATAAATTGTCTCACTAGAAAAGTATATTTGTTTTGAGCACTCTTGGCTCATTTTTGCGGTGTTTATTGATTTTTAGAGCCACTTACAGCTTATTCTAGACAAAAATCAACCACTTAGACAGAAATTGCGATGTGAAGTGACCACTCATTTTAATTAATATATACAGCCAAAATGATTAGAACACTAGTATTTTCACCAGCTAAAAATGGTTTTAAGTCAGTTATTTCTATCTTTTGCTGTAGTGTGTCAGTAGGAAATATCAGTTTACATTTCCAAACATTCATTTTGCCATTAATTGTAATAATCCAGTGAGATTTTAAACAGCCAGTGCTGCACACAGAGATCTGATCTGATCAGCATCAGTCTGTCTAATTTGAAAATCTGGAATCTGAGGGTGCAACAAAATCTAAATATTGAGAAAATCGCCTTTAAAACTGTCCAAATGAAGTCCTTAGCAATGCATATTACCAATCAAAAATTAAGTTTTAATATATTTACAGTAGGAAATTTACAAAATATCTTCATGGAGCATGATCTTTACTCAATATCCTAATAATTTTTGGCATAAAAGAAAAGTCGATCATTTTGATCCATGCAATGTATTGTTGTGCAACTTAAAACTGGTTTTGTGCTCCAGGGTCACAGGGTTTATAAAACTACTAAAAATAATGAAAACACAACAAAATTACTAATATTTTAACTAAAATGAAAGTGGAAAATATAAAAATGAATTTAAATTATTAATAAAAACTGTAATAGTATTCCAGTGATACTACAAAGGCTACGTTCACACTGTCAGTTTTTGGGATTGACAACCGCATTTACTTACAGGTGTGTGTCTCGAAATGTCCCGTTCACACAGCAGCTTACAGTTATGTTTAGAATACTGTTTGTATGAACGTTTTCATTCCTTACCAGTTACCATAGCGACAGTGACCAAAGTAATATCAAAGATGGCGATGCCCATAAAACTGAAAGTCTTATCACTTTATGACACAACAAGAGTCTAATCGAGCCGCGAGTTCATCCGTCAAACTTTCATTAACCAACAGCAGCTTTTATTTGGCTGGAGAGCGGAGCATTTGAGTCGCGCGCAGAACACAAAACTGACGGGAGTGTCTCCGGTGGAAAACTGACTGGATCTAAAACTTTCAGATGACACTGTAAGTTACCGAAAACACGCTGCACACGGTAGACGAGCGTTTGTGTGGCAGAGCGTAGGCCTGTCACGATAACAACTTTTTGTTGTGTGATATATTGCCCCAGAAATAATTGCGATAAGCGATATTTTTCCCAGACCTTCTTTTCTCTGTAAATTAAGGGTGCACACTATTGCTGAAAAACACAATCACTACTCAGCAGTAGTAGCAGTACTTTTTTTGTAGAAGCACTTTTTTAATTTGAACTAGCACCAACTACACCACGTAATCTACGAGAAGCTGCAAAAGACACAAGCGCAAGTGGAATGTACAAAACATGGTGACATTAATTTTTAAGTAAATATAATGGGCGATATATTGCGTCACCAAAAATGATTGAGGTCATGTACATATATTGCATGATAAGTCGATATATTGATTATTGCGACAGGCCTAGCAGAGTGACTCTCTCGCACTGTATGACGTGACAGACAACTAGTTGTCCAGTCCGGTTCCGTTCACACAGCGCGCGTGTTCCGAGAATGCGGTTGTGATTCCAGAAAATTTACAGGTGTGAGTTTGGTTACAGAATGCGATTGTCACACCCGAAAATAACCGAACTGTGTGTGAACAACCGTATTAAGGACTCAAATACAGGACTGACAACCGTATTATGCTGCTGTGTGAACGTGGCTAAAAAGTCTAGATAAACCTGAATATGCTTGAATAAAGCAAAATTATATAAACATAAAAAATTATACTAAATGCAAATAACAACTGCAACTAACTATGAGAATTATTATTATTATTATTGTTAAGAATAATAATAATAATAATATAACAATAATAATAATTATTATATTAAAAATAATAATAATTATAATTACAATGACTTTTATAAACCTGGATATCTTTGAAATCTGGGTCCTGAAGCAAAACCGTTTGAGAAGCACTGGTTTAATTAATGTGAAAATGGGAACACAATCCCGCCCTGTTATTTCTGACCTTGTGATATTGAGTCCACATGATGGGAGGACCAGAAGCTGTCAATTTCATGCATAGTAATGGAGACGAAAGGTTAAACGAGTGCCAGGCTTTCCTTCGGCGCAAAATCCAGCTGCAAATCTCCTCGAGCGCTGTTGTTTTATTTAGCATCTCTCTCGACATAAATACGACACAAATTGGTATAATGGAATGAGTTATTAGTTGCCGTACTCAACCGTAAAAATGTAGCATTCATTACATTTCAATAAAACACTATGGGCGGCCATCTGGAGGGAAGCGTGGCATATGGTTTAACGTTCGCTCCTTTGCAAAAGCACATGCTCGGATGCCAGAAGCGCTGTCTGTTGCCAAGGTGATTACTGTACGGGTTGCAGAGGAGGGGCCGCGGTGTGGGACTCTATCCGGAAACCCTCGCTTCTCACTTTCCTTCAATTTTATTTTAGCTGGAGTGATTGTTCTCCTTGTTACTCACCATGGAAACCTGCCTGCGATGACTCTGAAAGCAGCTAGGCATTAGCCGGCGGTCGCACTCAACCCCGCCATGGGTTCTTTTGTTAGCCGCGCTCAAATAAATGAACTCTCCCTTTTTTATTTTTCCGCAAATGGGAATATTAAAGGAATAGTTCGGCCAAAAATGAAAATATACCATTCGCTCATTCTCATGACTGACTTTCTTCTGTTCAAAAATGGCCAGACTGCTTGTTTTCATACAGTGAGAGTAAATGAGGAAGTACCTTTTTGTCATTTTGTAGCATCTTGTCACTATATGCATGAAAAAAGTAGTGCTGTCAAACGATTAATCGCGATTAAATATATGCATGCATGTGTTTGTATTTGTATATACATAATAAATATGCAAAGTATACACACAAAACTTTGTAAACAAAACTTTTATTTTGGATGTGATTCATCGCGATTAATCGTTGACAGCACTAGAAAAAAGTAATGTGAACATACTTCTGAATTGATTTTTGTGGTCGTGTGTGTTTTTATTAAAAATGTAAAAATGTTCATTCTTATTATTAATATTAAAAAATTAGGCAGAGTAGGCAGAATATATAAAAGTTAAATGTTTGGAATACATTTTTTAAAATGTTTTTATACTCAGCAAGGATGCATTTATTTGGTCAAAAATACAGTAATATTTTGAAATATTGTAATTTAGAATAACAATTTTCTATTTGAATATTTTGTAAAATGTAATTTATTCCTACGATAAAAACTGAATTTTCAGCATCATTACTCCAGTCATCAGTGTCACATGATCCTTCAGAAATCATTCCGTAAAGACATTTATGTTACAAAAAAATTATATTTCAAATAAATGCTGTTTTTTAACTTTCTATTCAAAAAAAGATCCTGAAAAACAAAATATATCCCAGTTTCCACAAAAATATTCAGAAGAACAACTGTTTTCAACATTGATAATAATTAGAAATGTTTCTTGAACAGCAAATCAGCATATTATAATGATTTCTGAAGATCATGTGACACTGAAGACTGGAGTAATGATGCTGAAAATTCAGCTTTGATCACAGGAATAAATTACATTTCACAATATATTAAAGTAGAAAACCGTTATTTTAAATTTAAAAAATATTTCACAGTATTACTGTTTTTACTGTGTTTTTTGATCAAATAAATGCTGTTTTGAACACCAGCATCACAGTCACATGTGTATCTCACACTCATGGCCATTAAAAAGCAACAGCTGTGGGATTTGAGGGGGTAAAATCAGGTTATCTGTCTCATTTTGGCACTGACTGTCCCTGTCACCCCCTCCATCAGGGGATTCCTTTGTTTGTGTACATGTAGACGTTGAGCTAATTGACTGGTTTTCCCTACATGCGGGTTGCAAATTTAAAGCACCACTAGCCCTTTTTCCTGCAGGAGGAACCTGTCAATCAGATTACTGCGTCTGTTTGATATCAGAAAACGCAGAGAGATGATTGTTGCTCTCTTTTTTTGTGCTGCCATCAATCATTTTCATTTCGTTAAAACATCAATTATAGCCAAAAGTCATCTGGTGATAATCACCAAGGGCTAGCTATACTGAGCATTTGACAAAATAACACTAAAAATAGCTTACTGTTTTTACTATATTCACTATTATACCCCGCAGTGATGTGTGCTGTTAAAGGGGTCATATGATGCTATTTTAAAGATCATTATTTTCTGACTCTTAACTTTTATAAAGAATATCTCTTTGGATTTGAGACTTTAGTCTTTGCATCTTTACAGATCTTCTTTATGCACCAAGAGCTTGTAACACTCCAAAGAGAAAGGAAAACTTGAAATCGCATCATATAACCCCTTTAATTTCAACAACATTCTAAAACGTTAAATTCTACTGGAATTTAACATTTTAGCAACATTCTAACATGTTGAATTATATTGGAATCCAAAATTTAAGCAACATTCTAACACATAAAACATTTTTAGAGTCCAGCATTTTAGCAACATTCTAACACATGGAATTCTGTTGGAATACAAAATTTTAGCAACATTTTAACGCGTAAAACTTTTATTAGAATCCAGCGTTTTAGCAACATTCTAACATGTCGAATTCTATTGGAATCCAACATTCTAACACATAAAACTTTTATTAGAATCCAGCATTTTAGCAACATGTCGAGTTGTATTGGAATCCTGTATTTTAGCAACATTATCAAACATTGAATTCTTTTGGAATCCAGAATTTTAGCAACATTCTAACATGTTGAATTCTATTGAAATCCAACATCTGAGCAACATTCTGAATGGAATCCAACATTTTTGACCATTCTAACATGTTTAATTCTATTAAAATCCAGCGTTTTAGCAACCATCTAACATGTCAGATTCTATTGGAATCCTACATTTTAGCCACAGTCTAACATGCCCATTTCTGTTGGAATACAACCCTTTAGCAACATTCTAATACATAAAACTCTATTGGAATCCATTATGAGTTATGCAGAGATCCTTAATGCACCTTTATTTCACCATCTCAGCTCTTCATGATGCATGAAACCAAACACAAACATGTAAATGAATCTCTGTGGGTTTGTGAGGCAGCCGAATGAAGCCACCAGGAGGAGCAAAGCAGGGTTTCTGGGGAGGGTACAGCATTGTCCGTTATCGAAGCTGTCTGTCTCTAGAGACACAGGTGTGAAGATCGTAATTATCATCCTCTCTGTGCGCTCTCACAGTTTCATGGACTGTAGGAAACAGCAGGGAGCTTTAGTGTCTCTATATAGTAACATATATGAAGTTGAAGCCAAAAGAGTCCAACCCAGTCTGTTGTGGTTCCTCCTCCAGTGTAAGTCTATGAGATTTTATTTAGTCTGCCAGGTAAATCTGACTGTAGCAGATTTTTTTTCTAATCTACTGTTTAAACATTTGAGGTCTGTATGATTTTTTTAAATGCTTTTGAAAGAAGTTTCTTCTGCTCACCAAGGCTGCATTTATTTGATCAAAAATACAGTAAATATTGTGAAATATTATTACAGTTTAAAATAACAGTTTTCTATGTTAATATATGATAATGAATTTTCAGCATCGTTACTCCAGTCTTCAGAGTCACATGATCCTTCAGAAATAATTGTAATATGCTGATTTGCTGCTCAATAAACATTTCTGATTATTATCAATGTTGAAAACAGTTGTGCTGGCCAATATTTTTGTGGAAACCGTGATACATTTTATTTTTCAGAATTCTCTGATTAATAGAATGTTCAAAAGAACAGAATTTATTTGAAATATAATTTTTGGATAACATTATAAACTTCTTTACTGTCATTTTGATTATTGCATCCTTGCTGAATAAAAGTATTATTTAATTTAGTTATTTTTTTATTTTTATTTTTTTTTACTTTTAAATGATAATTTACATCTAAAATTAAAGAAACTAACGTTATGGTTGTTAAAATGTACTTTTATGCTCTTTTTGGATAGAAAAGCCTCAGGCAAAGTAGAAATGTCTAGTTTCATGAATATACGTCCTTTTCTTTGATGCAAGTTCAGTCTAATTTTTTCATAAAATACGAACTAATGGAAAGACTCCATTAGTGTGATATATCAGGTTTGACCGTAGTTCAGATCACTCAAGGTATCAGTTCCTCTATACTAGAGATTTGTCCATAAACTCGTCCCAAAAAGTATTAGTGCGCTTAAGGTTGAAGTGTCTGGATGTCATTGCATGTAATTGCAAATCATCAAAGCAAGTGTTATTAATTGTATTTCTCTCTGTAGCTGTGGAAGTCCAGCACTGGAACACATTTGGGAGGCTGATTTGGAGGCTTGTCATCTCCTCCTGAAAGGCCTCGATCAGCGCACCTCCAGCATCTCAGAATCGGACGATCTTCCCTCCATCCCTGGATCGGGTTCAGATGTCCTGCCGGTCACTAAAGAGGAAGCGGACTGCGCCATGTTGACCGCTCTAGGGGGGCGCTGGTGTCCCGAGGCCGACCTCCAACACTCAGAATTCACTAAGGTAAAGCCACAACACATTAAAATTCAGCAAAATGGATCAAAATAATTACTTATTACATGTCCATGGTCTAAAATTTTTTGTCTTTCTAGTCTTTCACTTTCAATTTTTGGACTGATTGCATGTAGGTCTCTTGGCAAGCATCGAGTAGAATTAACCCTGTAAAGGCTGAAATGAAATAATAGTTCGAAAAATCAGTTTGAAAATGGAAGTTTATTTAACCTTTAGACAAAATCTAAAAAGATGTTTTTTGTTGAGTATCATAATTAATACATCAGACTTTTATGGCTCATATGATATGATATAGTGAGAATATGAAGGAAAAAACAACTCCAAACTGAGCAAAAATACTGTATGCAATTTGGTGCAGATGCTGATATTTATATGGACAAAAAGTGATGAAATTCTGATGCTTGTAATGCAAATCAATGACACCTTTATAACGGTATAGCAGATAATTACATAAAATGATATAAATATCAGTGGCCACTCTGTATCTCCAATAATATGTTTTAGTAAGATATTTAAATGATCCAAACATATAATGCAATGCAATCCAATGATGATTGAGAGATGAACAAATAAACGTTCCTCAGAAGATGTGAGATGTTCTGGAGGCTTGTGAAGATCATTCCTCCGCTGAGGAACAGTGAAAGTAAAGCGTCTGGAAACAAACGTTCCTCAAAAGCTTGATGATCAATGGTACTTTGATTTAAAAAAAAAAAACTACATAATTAAACAAATGTATAGTTTCGACAATTTTACATATATATGTGGGTCATCTTTGAATGACGAGTACAGCACTACCTCACACCGGAATATTCAATTTCAATTCAAATGATGAATGCATGAACTAGCTTTTCTGCATCAGAAACAGGTCACATGTTTCGTAGCTTGGCAGTGTTTCTAAGATACAACTTGTGCTTTATGAAAGACTCACGAAATTAGAAACTAAAAATAGAAACCCCTTTCTTTCGGCTCCCTCCATTTCCATAAAAACCATCCATTTGCTGAATGACTCTAATTTCCACTCTGTTCTCCTTCTTCCTTCGCTGCCCTTCTCGTTCTTAACTTTTTCTAAGTCGTTCTAATATCTTTCAGCTCAGCGGGGCTCTATTGTCTCTAAGTGCATGGCTGTTTTTGTCTTCTGTCTGTTGAAGATCAGCCACTCCTCCTAACGCTCCTCCAGGACTCTGAAGGTGAGGTGACGCTGCGTCTCCCACTCACTGCTCTTCATCTCTCTGCTTCTCTCATACTCTATCTGTGCGTCTATACTAGCCAACACAGCATATTATTCATGTTATATGTGTATTATTTGTCTAACAAATCTAAAAAATATTATTATTATTACTGGACACACTTGCACATAAATATTTAATTTAATTCATATAATAATTCTATATGTAAGTGCAAGTGTGTTCGAATAGCATAAATTATATATATAATAAATAAATATATATTAGGGCTGTCGAAATTAACGCGTTAACGCAAATTAATTTTAACGGCACTAATTTTATTAATGCGCAATTAACGCAGCACACATTTTCTGTTTGACCCCTGGCCTAGCCCGTAGCTGGAAAAATGGAGATACAGTGTTGCCAACTTAGTGACTTTGCAGACCCCTTTAGCAACTTTTTTTGCCAAAAAAGCGCCAAATCTTTAGGGTTGGCCCAAACCTTAGGCCTATTTAGTTTCTGAGACTCACCATTACTGCTTTCCCAGCGTGCACACACCTCTTTCTCTTTCTCTGCGTCTGCTCTGTTCAGCGAGCGGCTGAGAGGAGCAACATTTCAGATATTATGTTGCTTCTCTAATTTCACATGCAAGTATAGCCGAAATCACAGCACAGCTATTGTCTTTATCTTATGTGTATTTGATCTCATCAGACGACGGCTCAATTATAAAACAGGATTTTTGTTCTGATAAACTTCTTGAAAGGGAGAGCTATGTAGTTTTAACGACTTGCGTTTGAGTCACTCAATATTAATTCAGTTGTCTGACAACAGAAACAGTAAAATATATCAATGAAAACAGTTTTATTGAGACTTTGGCTGCATCAAATTACAGTATGTGGGCACAGAGAGGCAAACAAATGTAATAAATAATAAATTTACATTTTGCATGTTCAGAAGAAGTGAGCTGC